ATTTGCCTTAAATTGTTGACCAGTCTCAAACTTATTGATGACTGAGAGTGTATTGTGCAGAGATCCTAACTACTTGTAGATTATTATAGAAGAACCAACACATATTGCCCGACCATATTTTGCTATCACGAGACTTAATTGTTTGAACTTCTTTAAAAGGATCTTCTGTAGGTTTTGCACAACCAGAGAGTTAGTGACAAATTTATTGTACCAACTCAGGGCTTTGTTTGTTTATTAATTTATTTGGATAATATGCGTTCATTTGCAAATAAACTATTGCGAAAAGTATTCCATGATTTGAACAGTGCATGTGTGTGTGTAATTAAAGAGGCCGAGTTGTTGGGTGCTTTACGACAACATTAACATGTAAGTTGCATGGTTGCATGTAGGTGACATAAACTTAGCTAAACGTTGGATGCGAGAGGATGATGCGCAATTAGTTAAACTTTTTTGTAGTCCAAAGTTACGACACAATCTTTCTGCAACAGAAAGAAGTGATACAATTCAAGATGATCAACATAAAGCGCCAGGGTTTAGGTATATATTTACCATGTTTACCTTGCTTTTTATTATAATTGAAATGTGCATGGAAGTCTGGTATTTCATTTAGTTCTTAGGACTAAATAAGGTTTATCATTAGTTATTCATGCATGTACTCGAGAATGGAGGAGTTTGCTGCATCGTTCCACATGTAAGAAAATGAGAAAAATAAAAAAAACAGTGAGTTCAGGCAAGTGATGGGTAGTTCGCTGTAAATAGCTTTTGAGTGGTTTAGGTGGTTAGTTTGAGAACTTTATGTAGACAATCTTTTTGGAATGCTGAATACTACCTTGTTCTCAATATATTTCCTCCAATCAATATGTAGCTATGTACATTTAATTCTATATTGGAGAGATTTATGGTGAAAGGCTGAAAAATATGTCGATAGTCACTGTGAGCCAGTAGTTTCGAGTAATAGTGTGATAATTGAATTGCAATTACAATCATTCTGTTAGATGTGTGTCTATTTGTTACAACGCAAAGCTACTCAACAGATAACGGTAAACGCCAACGCATATGTAGCAGGTTTGTGTCTAAACCATAAATTAATTGATCAGATGGATAACATGGATCCACTTTGCTTTGATTAATTAATCTTTACGCAGGACAAAAAGGAGGATATAAAGACTCAGGCCCACTAGTGTTACTTCCGCTCCATGTCATATGGCGACATTTTTTTCTAAAGGATCCCAAGGACTTACAGCTGTAGATTGGTGATGGTTCACTGGAGATTCACGAAGATTGAGCCTTTTGAAACGTATAAATGTATCGGGAGTGCGCTCAACGATGTACGAACAAGTATAAAAACTAAAGTTTGCGGAAGCAATAACCAAAGATATAAAAACTTTTCAGGGAAGCATCCCACTTCCCCTCAGAGCTCTTTCATCGATAACTAACAAACACATAGTTTGGATTTACAAAATAGAACTCCCTTCTATTCTAACCACAACTATGATCTAGCCTATCAATTACTTCTCCGGCCACGTCCCGTGGACTTATTTAACACACTTACTCCCTAAGTGTAAATGATTAAGGTGTTCAAAACAGAATAAACGAAACCAATACAACTGAAATGGTTTCAGTTCCTCGATGATCAAGTAATCCGAGAACTGAACACAAAGGAAATAAAAATGTAAGCAAGAAACTTGAAGCTTGAAGGTGATGAATAATAGCCCTAGTTTCAGCAAGCGTCCTTCAATCTTCAAGATCGGTTTATGTATAATTTCCTAGACTCCCACGATCCTTGGTCTCTCTTTAGTATATCCAAGAAGTCCTACCAAGTAAAGGACTCTTCTTCTCTCTCCAAATATTCACTTGCCTTAGTTATCCAATCTCTTCCTTATCTCCCGTGATTTTCTACTTGCGTGTGACTCCTATCCATGTGCACCGATTTCCTACAAAGTGAAAATACACAATAAGTCCAAATATTCCTTTACAAAATATAAACTAATTTAGAAAACAAGAACTTCCCTTATTTATGCATGCAGGAACTTCCTTTTTGAACTCATGCCAAAATATTACATCTTTCAATCTCCCCCTTTGGCATCTAGTTCGAAAATTCCTGCAAGAGATAAACAACAAGAGCAACACAAATTCTGGTACACACACAGTACTACTGATTAGTTCCTGCAAGCAATAAATAATGTACTGCATCCACAATCTACCTAAAACAGAACTTCATCACAAAAGTAATAGAAGCAACAAGCAATGTAGCACATCACAAAAACAGAAGAGATAAAATACGAGGTTCTTAAATACATAAAGACCTCACTACATCCCTCCACACACAGCCTAAACAACTAGAGCAAGTAGCAGCAACAAGCTTCAATCAGAGGTAGACTCTCCCCCTGAGTCAGAGCCATCCTCTTCAGCTTCAGTCTCATCTTCATCACCATCACCCTTAGCCTTCTTCTCCCCCTTTTTCGAACTACGGGATGCCGAAGGGCCTGTCCCCGAGTTCTTGCGCTGCAGCCCCTTGACAGCCTGTAGTACTTGGTGAAGATACGCCTGCTGTGTAGCCACTTTCTTGGCCACAACATCCCACTCAGCCAGCTGCTGCACCAAGAATTCATCCCACTTGGTGGGAACCAGAGAAGGGGCAAGATCAAACTTGGTCTTGGGAGTTGCCTTCACATTTAAAGTACGGGCACTAACAACAAAGGCTTTCCCAGGGTTCTCAAGAGCATCATTAAATCGAGGGTTCACAGAGAAATTGTTAGCAGCAAGGAAGGACCAAATCAAACAAGGAAAGGGAAGAGTACGACGAGACTCGGAATTAATCATGAAAGATTGGATAATATCAAAGACAACCTCACCAAAATTGAACACCTGTCCATCCATGATCCAATAGATGACTTTGCTCTGAAGTTCAGTGAGCAAGTTCTTGTTGGAGGTAGGTGTCCAATTCCCAGCACCAATCTTATGAAGAATGTTCGCGGTAAGGCACAGACAGCTCACAGGCAAATTAGAACCAGGCCATGTATCAAGATTTTTATCAGAGAGGGTTTGGGTAACAACACCAAGATCAACTTCAGACAAGGATGGAACATCAGCAGGTAAACCCAAATGCAAGTTCAAAAGCTCAGGAGAAAAGTCAATGACTCTATTCCGAAGAAAGAGTTTGTGAAAACAAGGGCTACCAGGTGTAAAAACAGCAGGGGTCAAATTGGCATAGAACTCTCTCACAGCTTGACCACAAAAAGGGTTAAGATTAGACACAGTTTTAGACAAGCCCACAACATCAATGAGCTTAACAATGCCCAAATCCTCATACTTCGCATCACCAAGAGGGTGTTCAGCCCAAAAGCCATAAGTAGAAAAATCTTCAAAACGACCAAAAGCAGCTTGAGTGTAAAACCTGTTCGAGTAGGCGTTGGACAAGTCATAGTCGTCATCTTCACGTTCTTGTTCAACAGGAGCGGTTTCCATGAGTTCTTTACCCGCACGCCTAGCGGATCGACGAACAGACGGTCGCCGAGGAGGGGTCTCTTGGTCGGAGCGAACTTCAATGGTTGTACCAGCAGTGTCGGATTTATCACCCTCCTTGGTGGTCGACTTCGTCCCAGAGGTGGGAAGAGCTGATGACTCCCCATGAGTTGTGCCGGCGCCGATGCATATGTAGGTTTGTGTCTAAACCATAAGTTGATCAGATGGATAACATGGATCCACTTTGCTTTGATTAATTAATCTTTACGCAGGACAAAAAGGAGGATATAAAGACTCAGGCCCACTAGTGTTACTTCCCCTCCACGTCATATGGAGACATTTTTTTTCTAAAGGATCCCAAGGACTTACAGTTGTAGATTGGTGATGGTTCACTGGAGATTCACTAAGATTAAGCCTTTGAAGGTGAGTTTTGGAATTGTAATTTCATAGTGTTGTCTTTTGGGTGAAATTGGTTTTCAAAGATGAAACATCTAGATAATTATATTATTCTTTTCGTCAGTACATCAATTTGGTATGAATTAACATGTGTTGTTTATAGTAGTGTACTAAATAGAGAGTTGTGTGTATTTTAAAACAATAAAAAATGCAAGGATTTTCTTAATGATATTTTAGATAATCATATCTATATCTATATATATAATAAGGATTAACATAAATTAATTATAGAAATATTTTCCCGTCATAAACATTAATTAGATACTAAAAATGGTAATTTTATAATTAACTTTAAATAAAAAAAGGAATATTAATTGCATTTATTATAGTTGCCTTTAAAAACAGATTGGATTGCAT